TTTATCCTCAGAAATGAAGATTTCCGTGGTTTATTCTCAGAAATGAAGATTTCCGTGGTTTATTCTCAGAAATGAAGATTTCTGTGATTTATCCTCAGAAATGAAGATTTCCGTGGTTTATCCTCAGAAATGAAGATTTCTGTGATTTATCCTGGCGGAAAATCTCGCCCGGCCGTGGGGTGAGAGGGGAACGGATTCATGAGGCAAATTGAGCCCAATCCAGGAAAATCGCTTTAAAAAATAAATTTATTTTCATTTTATTTTCCCCCGGGGTCATGGGCGGCACCTTTCCCTTCAACGAGGGAAATAAATTGAATTTTCCTCAGGGTTTGGGAGCATTGGGGAGTGAAAAATCCACTCCAAAATCTCGGATTTTGGGGGAAAAATGGAGAAAAAAATGAAGGGAATTGAGCCCTGCTGCTATGGCCCAAATCCAGGAAAATCACTTTTTATTTTTATTTTATTTTATTTTATTTTCCCCGGATCATGACAGCGCTTTGCTTTCACACAACATTTACGAGGCCGCAGAACCGCTGGAAATAAATCGATTTATCATCAGGAGCTGGGAGCAGCAGAGAGCAAATAAAACACAACAAAATCTCAGGTTTTGGGGGGAAAAAATTGAAAAAAAATGAGAGGCAATTGACCCCGACTGTTATATCCCAAATCCAGGAAAATCACTTTTAATTTTATTTTTATTTTATTTTATTTATTTTATTTATTTTATTTTATTTTATTTATTTTATTTTATTTTATTTTATTTTATTTTATTTTATTTTTAATTTTAATTTATTTTATTTTATTTTATTTTATTTTTTATTTTATTTTATTTTAATTTATTTATTTTATTTTATTTATTTTATTTTCCCCAGACCGAGGGCAGCACCTTTCCCTTCACCCAACATTTACGAGGCCGCGGAACCCCTGGAAATAAATCGATTTATTTACGATTTAGGAGCACTGGGGAGTTCAAAACCACCCAGAAATTTCAGATTTTGGCGGAAAAAATACAAAATAAACGAGCGAGGCGGGGGCGGCATTGACCACGCAGCGTGGGCACGGGGTCCTTTATTTTTTTTCTTTTTTTTTTCATTTTTTTCCCCTTTTTTTTTCATTTTTTCCCCTTTTTTTTTCCTTTTTTCCCCTTTTTTTTCCCTCTTTCCCAGGCAATAATCCGCGGCTATAAAAATCCAAGCGGGCCAATGTAAATTTGTGAAATTCGAGTTTGGGGCACTGCGGAACAAAGCTCTGCCTTTTTCTGGCCTCGTAAACTTCGGGCAAAGCTCCCGAATTTCAGCCCGGCCCAGGGGAATTGTCCCGGCTTTTGTCCGAAATTACTCAATTTTTCCATTTATATTCTCAATTTTTACATTTATTTCTGAGGAAATCCCGCAGCGCCCAGCCCGGGGAAGGCGCTGGGGCTGCTTTAAATTGAATTATTTGAGATTTTATTCATGGAAATATTCGGAAATTTCATATTTTTTTTGCGGCGTGTTGAGCATCCTGCTCCCATGCCGGACGATTCATTATTTATAAATAGTTATAATTATGTATAATTATTTATAATTGCTTATAATTACTTATAATTATTTATAGTTATTTATAATTATTTATATCGCATTCCTCAGTGCTCCGGGCGCTCCCCAAAAATGCGAATTTTGGTTTTGCTCCCCAAAAATGGGAATTTTTGCGGGTTTTTATGTCAATGTGTGACCATGAAGAAATCGTGGCCGGGAGGGGGTTGGGGCTGTTTGTGTTTATTCCTAATTTATTTTATTTTATTTTATTTTATTTTATTTTATTTTATTTTTTTATTTATTTATTTTAATTTTTATTTTATTTTATTTTATTTCATTTTCATTTTTTTATATTTCATTTCATTTCATTTTATTTAATTTCATTTTATTTTATTTCATTTCATTTCATTTCATTTTTATTTTATTTCATTTTATTTCATTTCATTTTTATTTCATTTCATTTTCATTTTATTTTATTTTATTTCATTTTATTTCATTTCATTTAATTTTTTATTTTATTTTATTTTATTTTATTTTATTTCATTTCATTTCATTTCATTTCAAGTTTAGTTTAGTTTAGTTTAGTTTTTAAATTTTTTTTATTATTTTTATTTTATTTTATTTTATTTCATTTCATTCCATTTTATTTTATTTTATTTTATTTTATATTTTCCCCGCGTTTCTGCGGCGCAGAAATGACGAAACGCCTTTTATCCCCAATTCCCCCCCATCCCTATGAAAGGCAGAGCCGGCGCATCAGCACCATCCCTTCAATCCACAAAAAAAATAAAAATCAATTCCAACTCCCCCAACCCCACCCCTCCTTCGCGGAGCCTCCCCGCCCGCTCCGGCCGCAAAACCCGCGCGGGGCGGGAGGGGGGGAAGCGGAAACCCCCAAATATCCGCGCTGAGAGCGGTTCGGTGCTTTTGACCATTTATAATTATTTATTTATTTATTTATTTATTTATTTATTTATTTATTCATTCCCCCCCGCGTTCGGCGGCGCGGACCCGGAACCCGCCGGGAGCGGAGCGCGGGGGCGCTGCCAGCGCGCGCGGCCCCGCGGCCCCGGTGATTACGCGCCCCCGACGCTTTATCAGGGCCGGGCTCAAAACTTGGAGCGATCAGAGCGGCCCCGCGGCCCCGCGAACCGCCCGGGAACCGGGAACCGAGCGGGAACGGGGCCGGCCGCGCTCCTGCCACCCGCACCTCCCGCATTCTGATTTATTTTCATTATTTTCATCTTTCATTCTTCATTTTTAAAAAAATATTTTTAATTTTTTTCAATTTTCTTTCCTTTTTTTTTCCATTTTCTTTCCTTTTTTTTTCCATTTTCTTTCCTTTTTTTTTCCATTTTCTTTCCTTTTTTTTTCCATTTTCTTTCCTCTTTTTTTCCATTTTCTTTCCTTTTTTTCCAATTTTCTTTCCTTTTTTTCCAATTTTCTTTCTTTCTTTTCCACTTTCTTTCTTTTTTTTTCTTCAATTCTCTTTCATTTTTTTCCAATTTTCTTTCTTTTTTTCAATTTTCTTTTTTTTTCAATTTTATGGCTTGTTTCTCTTAATTTTATGCCTTTTTTTAAAAATTATTTTAGGCTTTCTTTTCCATTAATTATAGGGTCTGTTTCTTTTTAATTCAGGGCCTGTGGTTTTTCTTGTTTTGGTTTTTTTTCTTTTTGTTTTTTTTTTTTAATTTTATGGTTTCTTTTCTTTTAATTTTCGGGTCTGTTTTGGTTTTTTTAATTTTAGGGTTTCTTTAAATTGTCGGGTTTGTTCTTTTAATTTTAGGGTTCCTTTCCTTTTAATTGTCGGGTTTGTTTCTTTTAATTTTAGGGTTCCTTTCCTTTTGATTTTCGGGTTTGTTCCTTTTTATTTTAGGGTCTATTTTTTTGTTAATTTTAGGGTTTCTTTTCTTTTAATTTCAGTGTTTCTTTTCTTATAACTTAATGGTTTCTTTTCATTTTATGGTTTTTTTTTTTTCTTATAACTTTATGGTTTCTTTTCTTTTAATTTTATGGGGGTTTTTTTCCTTATAATTTTATGCTGTCTTTTCTTTTAACGTTACGCTTTCTTTTCTTTCATTTGACGCTGTCTTTCCTTTTCACTTCATGCTTTCCTTTCCTTTCAACTTTATGCTTTTTTTTTTTTCTTTTAATTTTCCACTTTCTTTCCTTTTCATTCTAGGAGCTTCATTTTAACTTTAGGAGGTTTTATATATATATATATATTGAATTTTAAGGGGGTTTTGTCTATTTTTCCCCCCCCCAATTTCAAATTTCCCCCCCCGTACGATGCCTCACCATGTCCATCTCTGGCGCCCTCAGCAATTACTACGTCGACTCCATCATCAGCCACGAGGGCGGCGATTCCCCCTCCCCTAAATTCGCCCCCGCGCCCTTCGCGGCGCCCCGAGCCCCGGGCGAGCCCCTCGAGTTCCCCTCGTGCAGCTTCCAGCCCAAGGCGGCGCCGTTCGGGCCCTCCTGGGCCGCGCCCGCCGCTTTCCCCCGCGTTCCTCCCGCAGCCCTGGCTGGAGCCCGGGCCCGGTCCGGCCAAAGCCGAGCCCAGCCGGGCCCCGGACGCGCCCAGGGGCGGCTTCGGCGCGGAGCAGCCGCGGGACGCGCTGGGCATCGGCCCCGAGCCGCGGAGAGCAGGCGGCGGCTTCCAGGACCATAAACCCGGCGGAGGAAGCGAGGACAAAGCCGGCCGAGATCAAAGTGAGTGATAAAAGTGAGGGAGCGGCGCAATAAAAACGGAAATAAAAAGGGGGTGATGGTGATGGGGGAGGGAAAGTTGAAAATCGGGGCTTGGGGAGGGAGGGAGGGGAAAGGGAGGGGCGGGGATGGGGGAGAGAGAGGGGTGAGGAAATGGGAATAAAATCGGGATTTTGGGGCTGGGCCGGAGCGGGAGTGCGGAGAGGAGAGAGCGCGGGAGGGAGTGAGGCGCCCCGAGGAGGAAAACGCAGGAAAACGGCAGGAAAATGCGGGAAAACGGCAGGAAAATACAGGAAAACGGCAGGAAAACGGCAGGAAAATGCGGGAAAACGGCAGGAAAACGCAGAAAAACGCAGGAAAACGGAGGAAAACGGCAGGAAATTCAGGAAAGCCCAGGAAAACGGCAGGAAATTGCAGGGAAACCCAGGGAAAGGGAGGGAAACCCAGGGAAAGGGAGGAAAATGGAGGAAAGCGGAGGAAAACGGGAGGAAATTACGCGGTGGAGGGCGGAGGGGCAGCGCGGAAAAGCCGAGGGGTGGAAAGAGAGAGGAAAGAGGGGGGAAATGGGGAAAAAGAGAAAAATTACGGGAAAAAGTTCATTGTGGGAAGGGCGGAAACTGCGCCGGGTGGAAAGAAAGAGGAAAGAGGGGAAAAAGAGGAAAAGTTGATGGGAAAAGTTCACCGGAAAAGCGCGGAAACACCGCGGGGGAGGACAGTGAGGAAAAGGGGCGAAAAATGGGGAAAAAAGAGGGAAAATCTCAGGAAAAAAGTTCACTAGGAGGGAAACGCGGAAACTCCGCGGGGTAGGAAAAAGAGAGAGAAAAAAGGAGGAAAAATAAAAAGGGAGAAAAAAAGGAAAAACCTCCGGACAAAAGTTCACCGGGAGGGAAGCGCGGAAACGCCGCGGGGGCGGAAAGTGAGGGAGAAAAAAGGGTGAAAAAATGGGGAAAAAAGAGGAAAAATGGCTGGGAAAATGTTCACGGCGGAGGTTCCGCGCCGCCTTTGCCGGCGCTGCCTCCCGACCGCGGAGTTTATTTATCTGCGCCGTTAATTGTTTGTTTATTGGCGGGATGAATATTTCAGAGCCACGCTCCTTCCCTGCTTAAAAACACCCAAAATACAACCGGAGAAGGAGGGAGGGGGCGTTGGAGTTAATTAGCTTTTATATCAGCTTTTATATCGCTTTTATATCGCTTTTATACCGGTTTTATATCGGGTTTTATATCTGTTTATATCAGTTTTATATCAGCTTTTATTCGTAATTTCGCCGGATTGGGGAGACGCTGAAAACTCCAGGCCGGGCCTTTTTGCCGCGTGAAATGTGGATTTAAAATAATCCAAATAATCGGCCCGCGGGGTGGTTAACGCTATTAATAATATTAGAATTGTTATTTTTAATGATAATATTTGTGTTGGAGGGAGGGAGCGTCGGTGTCACCTCCTGCCGGCGCCTGGTTCTGCTCCAAGGTGACCCCGGAGCGGTTTTGCCCTCCCAGGAAAGATTTTTCCATTAAAAAACCGAACTTTTCCATCAAAACCCCGAATTTTTCCATAAAAAACCGAACTTTTCCATAAAAACCCCGACTTTTTCCATAAAAAACCGACTTTTTCCCTAAAAACCCCGAATTTTTCTATAAAAAAAGCGAATTTTTCCATTTAAAAAAACTGGGTTTTTTTCCACAAAAACCCGAATTTTTCCCTAAAACCCCGAATTTTTTCAATCCTGGCAGAGCAGCAGCGCCCGGAGGGTGGAAATTCCCATTTTTTCCTCCCTTTAAATGAACTTTTTTCCCATTGAAACACGGGATTTTCTCTCCCCCTCGCCATTTCCTCTCGCAGCGCGTTCTGGTGGCGCTTCTTTTTGTTGTTTGCTTTTAAATTTACTTTTAATTTATTTTCCCTTTCCCCTCTCAATGAACCCGCCCAGAAGAAAAGTCCTTTTCTATTGCGCTGGGCAGGATCCAGAACAAACCCAAACCGACCGCGCCAAACAAAACCCCCGAAAATGGAACATTTTGTCCCAAAATAATCACTCTCAAAGCCGCCCTGCTTTCCGTGCGGTTTTTTTTTTTTCCCTTTCAATAACAATTAAATTTTTTTTGCTTTCAATAACAATTAAATTTTTTTTGCTTTCAATAATAATTAAATTTCTTGCTGGCCTCCAGGGCTGTTGTGCAGCCAGACCTGATTCCGATTTTCCCATTTTTCCCTTTTTTTGTTGTTGTTGTTTCTCCCTGATGAATCGCTGCCTGGAAGCTGTTCATTTATTTTACTGGATTTTGGAGAAAAAAAAAAAAACACCAAAAAATAAAAAAGATGCCAAGACCTCTCCCCATTCCCTTTATTTGTGAGGAAATCAAATAAAATAAAAATCCATTTCAACGACCCCAAAATGCCCCGAACCCGCGCGGCCATTAAAGGATGGCGGGCAGGATTAACAATATCAATTATTAACAGCTTTCCTCCTCTTTAATTATTAATTCTGCATATTGCATCCACTCAATTCCGGGGAGGAAACGGCCCTGCAAACTCGGCAGGGGCAGGACTCGCTCGGGAAGGTTCAGGGGTTGATATTGATATTTTTTTATTGGAAATATCCAATAAATTGGATTTTTGGGGGAGTTTGGGGTGGCCCAGGGGTTTCTGTGCGGGATTTGGCTCCCGGCGCGATTCTGGGGCGAAAAAGGGAATAAAAGGGGAATTTGTGCGTTCCTCCCTCCCGCCACCGGTGTTCGCACGTGATTAGCGAAAATCCCAATATTTACCCTAAAACCGCTTCGCTTTCGGCCGCGATTTTCGCCACCTCGGCCGCTGCCAGCGGGGCGGGCTCGGCTCCCGAAATTTCGCGTGTCCCTCCCCTCCCTCCATGGAAAAAATTCCCCAAATATCCCCAAAAAATGGAATTTTTTATTGCCACCATTCCCACGCGGCTTCTCCCACCCGCCAGCGTGACGGGGGGGGGGGGGGGGGAAGCTTTTATTTATTCCTAATTTTCATTAATTTTTAAATTTCATTTCTTTATTTTATAATATTATTTCTTTATTTACTCTCGTGTCTTCATTTTAAATTGCATTTCTTTTGCAAACCCATTTATTTGATTCTAAATGTTGCTTATTTTTCTTTATTTACAGTGTTATATAATTAAAAGATAACTGCAATTTCTGCAAAAATTTATTTATTTATTTATTTATTTATTTACTTGTTTATTTATTTATTTATTTACTTACTTTTATTATTTACTTTTATTTTTATTTCTTTATTTTTTGGCTGCGTTTCCAGCCCTGCCAATGTCACTGGCTGCGGGTGACGCTGTCCAGACCTGTGGCAGCCAGAGAGGGATTTTTGGGGCCAGATTGCACCAAAAAATTGAATTAAAAAAATTGAAATTGCCAGGATTTGTTCAGGAAAAGCCGCTCCAGGTCTCCCCTCCCTGCGTGATGGGGCTGGGGGAGCAAATCCTGGGGAAAATGGGGAGAAAGGGAAAATTTGGGGTTGGTTTGTGTGGAATGTGGGGGCTGGGGCGGGACCCCAAAACCCGCAGAAATTCACCCAAAAACCCCGGGGAAATTCACCCCAAAACCTGGAGAAAAGAAATCAAAAACCCCGGGGAAATTCACCCCAAAACCCACAGAAATTCACCCAAAAACCCCGGGGAAATTCACCCCAAAACCTGGAGAAAAGAAATCAAAAACCCCGGGGTTCACCCTAAACCTACAGAAATTCCACCCAAAAACCCTGGGGTGCACCCAAACCCCACAGAAATTAACCCCAAAAACCCCGGAGTGCACCCAAAACCCACAGAAATTCACCCAAAACCCACAGAAATTCACCCAAAACCCTCTAGACAGGGACCCCAAAACCTCGAGGTGCACCCAAAACCCGCAGAACTTCCCCCCAAAACTCACAAAAATTCACCCCAAACCGTCTGGTATGAACCCAAAAAGCCGCAGAAATTCACCCCCAAAACCACAGAAATTCACCTCAAAACCACAGAAATTCACCCCAAACCCCTCGGGGTTCACCCCAAATTTGGGGTGCGGGGACAGCGTCCCTCTCTCAACTCCTGCGCCCCCAGTGCCAGCTCCGGCACCGCTGGAATTTTTGGGGTTTTTTGGGGTTTTTGAAAGGGATCTTTCTGGATTTTCTAGGGGTTTTTTTGGGCCTTGGGGTTGGGCTTTTTAGTTGTTTATTTTTTGTTTGTGGTTCTGTTTTTATTTTTGCTTTCTTCTGGCTTTGGTTTAGTTCGGTTTGCTTTTAGTTTTGGATTTGGTGTTTTGTTTCCTGGGTTTGTGTGGTTTTTGTTGGTTTGGTTTGGTTTGGTTTCATTAGTTTTAGTTTGGGGGTTTGTTCTTTTTGTTTGATTGGGTTTCGGTTTGGTTTGGGTTTGATGTGGTTTGGTTTGGTTGGGTCGGTTGGTTTGCTTTCATTGGTTTGGTTGGGTTGGCTTGGTTTGGTTGGTTTGGTTTTGTTTTGTTTTCGGGTTTGGTTTGGTTTGGTTGGTTGGGTTTGGTTGGGTTGGGTTTGGTTTGGGTTTGGTTTTTGTTTTGTTTTTTGGTTTGGTTTGGTTTGGTTTGATTGGGTTGGGTTGGGTTGGTTTGGTTTGGTTGGTTTGGTTTGGTTTGGTTGGGTTTGGTTTTTGTTTTGTTTTTTTGTTTGGTTTGTTTGGTTTGGTTGGGTTTGTTTGGGTTGGGTTTGCTTTGTTTGGTTTGGTTTGGTTTGGTTGGGTTTGGTTTTTGTTTTGTTTTTTGGTTTGGTTTGGTTTGGTTTGGTTGGGTTTGTTTGGGTTGGGTTTGCTTTGTTTGGTTTGGTTGGGTTTGGTTGGGTTTGGGTTGGTTGGGTTTGGTTTTTGTTTGGTTTGGTTGGGTTGGGTTTGGTTGTGATTGGGTTGGGTTTGGTTGGGTTTGGTTTTTGTTTTGTTTTTTTGTTTGGTTGGGTTGGGTTTGGTTTGGTTTGGTTTGGTTTGGTTGGGTTTGGTTGGGTTTGGTTTGGATTGGTTAGCTTTGTTTGGTTGGGTTGGGTTTGGTTTGGTTTGGTTTGGTTTGGTTTGGTTTGGTTTGTTTGGTTTTGTTTTAGTTTGGTTTGGGTTGGTTGGGTTTGTTTGGTTTGGTTGGGTTTGGGTTGGTTGGATTGGGTTTGGTTGGGTTGGGTTGGGTTGGGTTTGGTTGGGTTTGGTTTGGATTGGTTAGGTTTGTTTGGGTTGGTTGGGTTTGGTTGGGTTTGCGTTGGTTGGGTTTGTTTGGTTTTGTTTTAGTTTGGTTTGGGTTGGTTGGGTTTGTTTGGTTTGGTTGGGTTTGGGTTGGTTGGATTTGGTTGGGTTGGGTTGGGTTGGGTTGGGTTTGGTTTAGTTGGTTTGGTTGGGTTCCATCTAGTTTCCTTCTTGTTTTACTTCACTTTATTTCACCTTCCATTTCATTCATTGTCCCCCCCAACACCACCCACCTCCCCTTTAAAAAACCCCAAAAAAGCCCCCTAAAACCCCACCAAAACTCTGATTTTCCCATTTCCCCCCATTTTTATTTGAAAATCCCCCTTTTCCAGCCAACCCCGCCGCCAGCTGGCTGCAGGCGCGCTCGTCGCGCAAGAAGCGCTGCCCGTACAGCAAATTCCAGACGCTGGAGCTGGAGAAGGAGTTCCTGTTCAACATGTACCTGAGCCGCGAGCGGCGGCACGAGGTGGCGCGGCTGCTCAACCTCAGCGAGCGCCAGGTCAAGATCTGGTTCCAGAACCGCCGCATGAAGATGAAGAAGATGAACAAGGAGCAGGGCAAGGAGTGACGGGAGGGGCAGAGTTCACGAAACTCGGCGGTTTTTCCTCCAAACTGCCCCGAAAGCGGCGCCGGATCCTCCCCCAGTCTGTTGTTCCAGATGAAATTCTGGTTATTTTCATTTTTCAAGTCTCTTCTCTTCTGGAGAACGGAGGTAAAAGGAGCCCAAGGTGCGACTCCTTTTTGGGGTAAGGAGTGACGGGACAGGCAGCGCCCCCAAGATCACAGATTTTCTCCAAACTGCCCCAAAAGCGGCCCCGGATCCTCCCCCAGTCTGTTGTTCCAGATGAAATTTTGGTTATTTTCCTCTTTAAAAATCTTTTTTTGGGGTTCAACGCGCTCCAAAGTGCAGCTCCTTTCGGGGTAAGGAGTGACGGGACAGGCAGCGCCCCCAAGATCACAGATTTTCTCCAAACTGCCCCAAAAGCAGCCCCGGATCCTCCCCCAGTCTGTTGTCCCAGATGAAATTCTGGTTATTTTCATTTTTCAAGTCTCTTCTGGAGAACGGAGGTAAAAGGAGCCCAAGGTGCGGCTCCTTTTTGGGGAAAGAAGCGAGAGGAGACAGAGGCAGAGTTCCCAAAACTCAGAGATTTTCTCCAAACTGCCCCAAAAGCGGCGCTGGAAGCTCCCCCAGTCTGTTGTTCCGGATGAAATTTTGGTTATTTTCATTTAAAAATCTTTTTTTGGGGTTCAACGCCCCCCAAAGCGCGGCTCCTTTTGGGGGAAATGAATGAGGAGGACGAGGAGTGACGGGATGGACAGAGCTCCCAAAACTCGGCGGTTTTCGTCAAACTGCCCCAAAAGCGGCACCGGATCCTCCCCCAGTCTGTTGTTCCAGATGAAATTTTATTTTCCTCTTTAAAAAAATCTCTTTTTTGTCTTTTGGAGCAACTCAGCCCAAAGCGCGGCTCCTTTCGGGGTAAGGAGTGATGGGACAGGCTGCGCTCCCAAATCTCAGAGGTTTTCTCCAAAAGCAGCGCTGGATCCTCCCCCAGTCCCAGCTCCGCTGTTCCAGCTGAAATTTTGGTTATTTTCCTCTTTAAAAAAATCTCTTTTTCGTCTTTTGGAGCAGCTCAGCCCAAAATGTGGTGCAAGGAGCGAGCAGGGCAAGGAGTGACGGGACACAGAGGCAGCGCCATCGAAACTCAGAGATTTCCTCCAAACCGCCCCAAAAGCGGCGCCGGATCCTCCTCCCGTCTGCTGTTCCAGCTGAAATTTTATTTTCCTCTTTAAAAAATCTCTTTTCGTCTTTTGGAGCAACTCAGCCCAAAGCGCGGCTCCTTTTGGGGAAATGAATGAGGAGGGCAAGGCGTGACGGGACACAGAGGCAGCGGCCCCAAATCTCAGAGATTTCCTCCAAACTGCCCCAAAAGTGGTGCTGGATCCTCCCCCCAGTCCCAGCTCTGCTGTTCCAGCTGAAATTCTGATTATTTTCAATATTTAAATCTCCTTTCGCCTTCTGGAGGTAACTGAGCCCAAAGCGCGGCTCCTTTTTGGGGGCAAAGAGCGAGAGAGCGGCACAAGAGAGGAGAAAGCGGCAGCGCCCCCAAATCTCAGCGTTTTTCTGCAAACTGCCCCAAAACCAGCACCGGATCCTCCCCCAGTCCCAGCTCTGCTGTTCCAGATGAAATTTTGGTCGTTTTCCTCTTTAAAAATCTTTTTTTTTTGGAGCAACTCAGCCCAAAGCGCGGCTCCTTTTGGGGGGAAGGAGCGAGCAGGGCAAGGAGTGACGGGACGCAGAGGCAGCGCCCCCAAATCTCAGAGATTTTCTCCAAACCGCCCCAAAAGCGGCGCCGGATCCTCCCCCCAGTCCCAGCTCGGCTGTTCCAGCTGAAATTTCGGTTGTTTTCCTCTTTAAAAATCTCTTTTCGTGTTTTGGCACAGCTCGGCCCAAAGCGCGGCTCCTTTTGGGGGCAAGGAGTGACGGGAGAGGCGGCGCCCCCAAATTTCAGCGTTTTTCTCCAAACCTCCCCAAAAGCAGCGCTGGACCCTTCCCTCACTCCCAGCTCGGCCGTTCCAGCTGAAATTTTGGTTATTTTCAATTTTTAAACTTTTTTTCTCCTTCTGGTGCAACTCAGCCCAAAGCTGGGCTCCTTTTTGGGGTTCATTTCCCTTCCCTTGTTTCCTTTTTGGGGTTCCTTTCCCTTCCCGTGTTTCCTTTTTGGGGTTCCTTTCTCTTTCCTTGTTTCTTTTTGGGGTTCCTTTCTCTTTCCTTGTTTCCTTTTTGGGGTTCCTTTCTCTTTCCTTGTTTCTTTTTGGGGTTCCTTCCTTTTCCCTTCTTTCCTTTTTGCCTTTTCTCCCCCTTTTTTCCCCTCCCCACTGTCGGACCAACTTTTCCCATTTTTTATTTATTTTTCCCCCAGAAAATTAAAAAAAAAAAAAAACCCGACCCCAACCCGGCCACCCCCAAACCTCCCGTTATTTTCTCTTTTTCTCCCAAAAATTTGGGGTTTTTTCCCAAAACCCTCCCAGACGCTCTGGAGGTGGCCGAGCCCCCCGACGCTTTAATTAAACCCCCGCACCACAGCCACATTAATTAAGGCCGCCTTTAATTACACCCCACAAATCATTTCCAGCACAGCCCCAATTTGGGGTCCCCCCCATTTTTTATTCCCCTCTTTATTTCAATTTTTTAATCTCAGTTTGCCATGAAAAATTCGAATTATTCGAATTATTTGGTGCAATTCGGATTCCGGCCGCGCTTTTGGAGGAAACTGGGACTCGGAGGAGAAGTTTATTTTTTTTGTGGGCAGAATCGCCTGGATTTGGGGGTTTTTTGTGCAAAAAAAAAAGAGAGAAAAAAGAGAAGGGGAGAGAGAAAGGGGGGCAGCGTGGGGCCCTGTAAATTATTGAGGAGAAACAGAAAAGGGCGGAAGAGCCCCCCGCCAACTTCCCCCGGACTTTTTTAGAGAGGAGGAAAACCGCGATTTTCTAGTTTAAAAATTAAAAAAAAATTTAAAAAGAAGCAAAAAAAACCCACCAAAAAATGGAAAAAAAATGGAAAATAAATAAACGAAATGAATAAACTACCTTAGCGGAGCTTTCAGGGAGGGCCCGGCCGCCGGGAGCGCTCGGTATTTATAATTTATTGAGGAATTTTGGACTTTTTCCTGGAGCTGCTGCGGAGATAAAAGCGCCGAGCCCAGCCCGGATTTATTTTAAATTCTGATTTTTGGACATTTGAACGCTCGGGGGATTTTCGGTCGCTCCCAGCGCGGATTTCCCGAGGTTTCCTCCATCCTCATCCTCATCCTCACCCCGAGGCGGCAGCGCGGATCCGGGCCGGGGTTTCTGGGGTGATTTTGTCTCTTTTTGGGGCGATTTTGGGGTTCGGGAGGGCTGGGGGGGCAGGGGGGGTTTGGGTTTAGTTCAGGTTCCGTGTGGGTGTTTGTGTGTTCGTGCTCGTGTTCCCGTCCGTGCCGTGGGTTCGCATTCCTGTTTTTAACATTTTTATTTTTAAATTAAAAAAAAAAAAAACAACCAAAACAACAACAACAAAAAAGTTTTTCCAAGAGTTCAGCGTTGCTAGTGGCTGGGAAAAAAAAAAAAAAAAAAAAAAGGAAAAAATTTTAAAAAAATGGAAATAAACTTCTCCAGTTTGCTCCGTGCGCGGAATTCGGACTTTGAGGCATTCGAGGGGCTCCGGGATGGGCAGAGGGGGTGAAAAAAGCACCAAAAAGTCAAATTTTCCCTGCGGTTTATCAGGAGGAACCAGCCCAAATCTGTTTCCAGGGATGGTTTTATCAGCGGGGCCGCTCTGGGCGGCAGCGATAGCGAAACTCCGCGGATTTGCAGTTTTTGAACCGCTCCCGCTCTTTTTTTCTGGCTTTTTTTTCCCTGTTTTTTTTCTCTTTTTTTTTTCCATTTTTTCCCTCCCCCTCCCTCCGCGATCCCGAGCTAAAACCCGAGGAGCTGCGCTGAAATTTCCGCCGCTCCGAACCCGCTCAAAAAACCCCAAAAAACCCAAAAAACCCCAAATTATCTCCCCCATCGAAGAGAAAGAAAAGCTGAAGGGTTTAAGAGAATCCCCTCGAAATTTGTTTCATTTTTGGGGTTCACATTTTGGGGTTTTTTCTCCTGCAAAACTTTCCAGCCCGAAGCTGCTCCCGAGTTTAACCCCTGCGCTGCCGGGGGGAGCTCAGCTCCACCCAAACTCCGCTCTCGGTTTAAAAATTTCGCTAAAAAAAATTCAAATTTCGAGGCCTTTTAGTGGGGAGATTTCCCTAAATGCTGATTTATTTCTAAAAAACGCGATTCAATGGATGAAAACGGGGGGGAAAGGCTGAATTTTCCAGCTCGGTTCGGTCCCCAGCAGAGCCCGGATTTGCCCAAATCCTCCCCAATTTTCATTTTTTCATTTCCCACGAGTTCCTCGACGTTTCGGCGGCCGGGATTTAGGAGCGGATTTTTCTCACTTTTCCTTAGAGTTGTGCTGAAGAGCAGATATTTTTAAGATGACGATGATGAGGTTTCTTTGAGAATAGAGTGGAAGGCGTTAGCTGATTTTAATAGGAAAAAAAAAAAAAAACAAAAAAGAAAATAAAAAAGAGAAAATGTTGTAAAATTTTTTGTTTTCTGTAGCATCGGCCCGGATATGTATTTTCCAGAGATGTTTTAATGCTCCAGAATAAAAACCGATTTTAGAACAACGAGCAGCGCTCCGTCTTTGTGTTCCTCACCCCAAATACAGAATTATTCCCGCCTTGATTTTTCCTCCTTTTTTTGGGGGGGTTCAGATTCCCAAAAATCAGCCCAGAAAAAGTGGAAATAATTCCGAAATAATTCCAAAATAATTCCGAAATAATTCCAAAATAATCCAGCTGGGGAGCAGCAAGTGTTCGCTGGGTCCCACCCGAACTTGCTGCGCTCCCGAATGTTTCAAAATCAAAATTATTGGTTTAAATTTAATTTCTGGCACCCGAGCTTGGGGCCGCCTTTGCCCCTTGATGGCGGGTTTGATTTTTATTTTTGGAGTTTTTATCTCTTTTTATTCCCGCCCCAGGCTGAGGG